TTATATATATATATATATATATATATATATATATATATATATATATATATATATATATATATATTAGCCATAAAAAGATTAGAGTTATTATACTTTTCATGATTAAAAAGAAAAGTGAAATTTAAAACAAACACATCCGGCCGGTTTAGTCCTCAACGATATTTAGTATTAATGAATGCACAATACAATATAAATTGAAATCACCTTTAGTCTTAACAGACACTACCTCTGGGCCGAACGTAAATTTTTCCAACGCCTTTATCTGCAATAGAGAGCGAGCACGACTTAGAATGGTGAACGTGTCAATGCTAATCTTAGCGGCACACTTTGGGTTTTTAATAAGATGCTCCTTGATGGACGAACCATATGTGTTGTTCAGAACGTCTTTTAGTTGGAATGTTCTATTTCTTATTTTTCTCGGTATATGTTGCTGTATTCTAGCATCTAAACGTTGAGTTGTTCTATCCATGTAGTCGGTACTGCAACTACATTTAAAATGATGATCGTCCTGGGTGTGACGATGAACTACATCCGCGTCCTGGGTAGGACCTTAAACTACAACTGCGTCCTGAATAAGACGATAAACTACATCCAACAGCAAGGCCTTTGATCAGGAGTTTCTGAGGAGCGTGGATCCATCTCTTAATTGCTGGTGTTCCCAAGTGCAACCTAACCCAAGTGGTAGCACCTGTTAGGGTCCCAGCTATAAATAAATATCAGTCCCCCACATAAAAGTCCAGACACGTTGCAGGCCGAGGAAAGGAGGAAAAATACCTACCTTAAATTGCGAAGAAATATTTTCTTTCCGCGACGTAAATTAATAGACTGATAACTTGAATTGAGTTACAAGAAGAACGAAAAAAATAAATAAAGGAGGAAAAAACATATCATTTATAGCCACTCCAGGGATCACGTTGTAACAAGTAACGAGAAATCCTGTAACTGTAAAAAAAGAAAAAAATTAGTAAGAAGGTAACAGCATTTAGTCAACAAGAACCAACAACCAAGTTAAGTACATTACTCCTTCCTTCGCATGAACCATCAATTTCTCCACATTAATACCAGCAATTACTTTTT